TAATATGTTTAAAAAAATTAGGGTTTAGGGTTTAGGGTTTAGGGTTTACCTCTTCCTCCTTCTGGAAGTAAATAAAGGCCAATGCTAATGCAGCAGCTCTTCCTATCTTCTCGTGCTGCGTCTCCTTTGCATAAGCCAGCAGCTCTGCTGCTGCGCTGCAGCAGCCGCTGCCCAGCAGCAGCAAACCTAAACCCCATGCTGCTGCTTCTCCTGCTACTGCACTATCTAAGAATAATAATGTACGTAATGCCTCGTACGCCTCTGCATCATAAACCCTAAACCCTAAACCCTAAACCCTAAACCCTAAACCCTAAACCCTAAAACAATAAAAAACTTTAACTATAAACCCTAATCTGTACCGTAATTATGTCCAAGACCAACAAGATCAAACCTTAAACCCCCCAAACCCTAAACCCTAAACCCTAAACCCTAAACCCTAAACCCTAAACCCTAGATCCTGACCTGTATCGTCACTATGTCCAAGACAGACAAGACCAAGACCTAATGCAGCACCATGAAGGAGAGGTTCTTTTTCTGTTTTATTTGTTTGTTTAATTTGTGTTAATAATAAGAGACGAACTTTGGGGCTGCATGCGCCACAATGTAATAAACCTAAGCCGTATAATGCTCCTCCTTCTGCTGCTGCACCTCCTGCTGCACCTCCTGCTCCTGCTGCTGAGGAAGAGGAGGAAGAAGATGATCCTCCTGCTGCTCCTCCAGCAGCAGCAGCAGCAGCAGATGCAGGTAGATAAGGACCTAACACCTTCAGGCTTGAACCTACATTACCCTGCATACCAATATAAACATAAACCCTAAACCCTAAACCCTAAACCCTAGCTCTATAACATAGAAATCTCCTGCTGCTCCTGCTCACGAATACTCCTCCTACCCCTACTGCTGCAGCACGATCAGCAGCAACACCATCAGCAGCACCATCAGCAGCAGCAGCAGCAGCAGCAGCAGCAGCAGCAGCAGCAGCAGCATACCCTGTGCACGACTCCTATAGAAGCAGTAGCGGAGAATTTAGCCCAACTAACTGCTCGTCTAATCCAATCTAAATTTTGTCGTAAAAATAAATCGCAGCCGCTGCCGCTCTGCTGCAGTGCATGCGCTAGCAGCAAGCCATGGTGCAGCAAAGATTGACGGCCATCTATGGATTCCTACAGCAGCAAATACAGCAGCAACAGCAGAAAGAGGTGCAGGAGGAGATGGAGAGGAACGAGGAGATGTAAGGGTTTCTTTTTGGAGAAATGTATACGCAGTAATAGGCAAGATATGGTCAAATTAGGGTTTAGGGTTTATAGGATTAGGGTTTAGGGTTTACAGGGCATAGATGAGCGGGAAAAGGGTTTACGGTTGGATAATATACTCCAGCATAATGTATAAAAATTTCAAGGGTTTATGGTTTATAATTAGGGTTGATAGTGTATAATTAGGGTATATAATTAGTGTTTATTGTATATAATTAGGGTTTATGGTTTATAATTAGGGTTTAGGGTTTAGGGTTTAGGGTTTAGGGTTTACCTTATATAGATCTAATAATTGGAAATCTGTTTGTGATTTTCTATTTAAAACTTCCAATCGTAATTCTAAAGTTGAACGTCCACTTAATATACTTCGTAGGACAGCTAGCTGAGTACAAACCCTAAACCCTAAACCCTAAACCCTAAACCCTAAACCCTAATAAACCCTAAACCCTCATAATATATATATACCCCAAAGAAATAACAAGAAACAACAAAAAACCCTAAACACTTCATGTCATGGAAACCAACAACATTAGATCACATTGAACCTTAAGACACGTAAACCCTAAACCCTAAACCCTAAACCCTCGAAAACCCTAAACCCTCAGAAACCCTAAACCCTAAAGGGAAGAAGAATACGACGGGCAGGAGGCCATACCCGGCGTGTTGCAGGGTCTGGTGATTCTGCTGCTCTCCTCTCTGCTGCTTCAGCAGCAGCAACAGCAGCAGCTGCTGCTGCGGCGGCTGCTTCTGCTGCTGCTGCTGCTGATGCTGCTGCAGCTTCGGCCGTTGGTGTTGATGGTGATGCTGCTGCTGCAGAGCCTTCTTCCTGACCCGGCTCCTGCTGCTGCTCCTGCTGCTGCTGCTGCTGCTCTTCCTGCTTCTGCTGCTGCTGCTCCTCCTCCTCGTCCTCAGCAGGAGGCAGCGCCAACAAAGGATGAGAGAGGAGGGCCTCCATCTGTCTCGGAATTTCTGCAGACACCCGAAAACCCTAAACCCTAAACCCTAAACCCTAGCTCCCCAATATTATATCCAAGACCCTAGACAACGGGAAGCAACAAACCCTAAACCCTAAACCCTACACAGTATAAACCCTCGAAAAAACCCTATCACCTACAGACAGACCCCTATAAACCCTAAACCCTCGTAAACCCTAAACCCTAAACCCTAAACCCTCGTGTAGGCTTACCTAGATCAATTAGATCAAAAGCAATTTGGTAAGCAAGGAGTTGGGGTTTAGGTAGGGTTTGCGA